AGTGCATATGTACACACATGCACAGAACCCCCCATTGACTTCATATCTTCTATTGTCTAATTTTGTTTCCCCGCATCAGCCAAGCTAACTCCTTACAAGGCCTTCTGTACCACCCATTTCTCTTTTCCTCCCTAATTCTTCCTCTTCTCGGGCAACCTTCAGTCTTTACCACTCTACAAACATCCTTGCTCTTCAGGGCCCTGGGCATTTTCACACTCCCTCCATGCCTGCATATTCTCCTGCATTTGGCATGGCTAGTTCTTCCCTCTTGGGGCCCTTCTTGCCTGGCTCTGAGAGGACATGTTCCTGTTTGTGTCCATCATCCTCTCTGGTCCTGCTTCAGTCTTCTCTGCAAAATCAACTTGGAGACCTAAAAGCAGAAGTTGTTCAAGTCGAAATCTAAATCTTTTTCCAGTTCTCACTATGATTTTTTTCTCTTTCCATCTCTGTTACTAGCATTTTTAAGTTGTTGCTCACTTGATATATATTTCTGATTTTATCCTTTTTACTGAGTGCCAACCTAATATGTCTCTCTGTCAGTTTTGTTTCCTGTTATGGTATTGAAATACCCTGGTGTTGAAATACCCTGACAGAACCAACTTAGGAGAGAAGGAGCTTGAGTCCATCATAGCAGGAAGGGAGCAGCAGAAACATGATGTAGGTGGTCAGGCTGTATCTATGATCCAAAGCAGATGGCAAGAAACACATTCATGTTTATGCCCAGCTCCCCTTCTTCACTCTTACACAGTTCAGGAACCCCTGCCTAGGGAATGGTGCTGCCCACAGTGATCTGGGTCTTCCCAGGTCAGTTAATACAGTCAAGGCAATCCCTGAACAGACATTCCTACAGGGAACTTGATCTAAACTTCTCATTGGGAATCTCTTCCAGGTGTTTCTAGATGGTATCAAGAGGACATTCAAAACCAGTCATCACAATATCAAACTGCAATCTGACTTTTTCTGCAGAGATTCTCACAAATGTTTTGACTGAATGTGTCTTCAGGCCTCCCTCACTCCTGTGTGTTCTCCTCCAGTCTCTTCACTTTAGTCAACCACAGCTCACTCACACAGTGGCTTATGGAAAAGAATAAAATCCAACCAAGCAATAATTCTTGTCATCTTATACTTCTCCTGTTCCCAGCCTAATCAATCAGTTGTCAAGTCCTGTTGATCCTCCCTGTAAATGATAACTCACCTGCTCTATTTCCCCCATTCAGTGTCTTGACCCGATGCCTTTCTTGTGGTTTGCTGTGGTAGCCCTTGAGTCCTCTCCACTGCTGCTGCCAACCTCTTTCATCACCATCTATTCTCCAGCTAGAGAGAGAACTTCTCAATGATTTCTAGATACTGAACAATCCACACCCACATTCTGTGCCCACTGCTTCCCTTTATTTCAGGAAGGCATGATATGAATATCTGTAGATTCCTTGGTATGGCCATTCCGTCACATCTCTCTCTAACTCAGTTAATAAGCTGCATGCGAGTGGTAGCTGGGGCTGTTGTTTTCCACATATTCTATAGGATGCTGAGTCAAGTGCCCGATGAAGAATTTCACTACTAGAGGGAAGAATGAGCCTCTAAATGAATGAAGACCAACCCTAACCCTGTCCACACCTCCCATGGAGAGATGTGGTATAGGCCCAGGCCCTCCAGGAAGCAACCTGTAAAGAGAATGAGCTAGAGAGAGCCTTTCATGGGATTGTGTTAACTCACCCTAAAACTCCAAATCCAAGAATTTTCTGCACCTCTCTGAGGGGCATCAGGGGCACAGGCTCCAGAGCAGCTCTGAGCAGCATCTGGGCTCAGGGTCCATAGCAGGGCTGAGGAGCTGAGGAGCACAGGCTCCCTAGCAGAGGTCTAGAGAGGGCCTGAGGGGCATCAGGGGTGCAGGCTCAAAGGCAGGGCTCCAGAGCGGGCTCCGGAACAGGGCTGAAGGGCATCAGGGGTGCGTGCTTCAGAGCAGAGCTCCAGAGCAGGGCTAGAAACAGTCTCTGTGTGGCATTGGATAACTTCTGTGAAGACTTGGGTTCAAATTGTGGCTCTGCCATCTAACAGCTTCTGCCTTTTTGGCCAGTCATGTAAGTTCACTTGTGCCTCAGTCTCTACATACAATGGACCCAGAGTCAGTATGATATGACACAATGATGCTGTTACTAATTAAGAGCACCTTAACCCCTCAGTACAGCACCTGACCTGTGGACAATGATGTCTAAGTTTTAGAGTTTTTGTACTTTTGTCTATAATTCTGGTTCTTGATTTTTCTTTTTCCTGCTTTTCTTCCCCCTCTTATCCCATGAAGAGAAGAATCACCAGCCCTGACAGAACACACTCCCTTATGTATGGGAAGGACAAACTTGACGGCCCTGCTTGGCGGGAGCATTTTGCTGGTACACTGCTGTGTAGCAAGTTCACTTTGGGATAACATGCTGGGAGAGAGAAAAGGAAGATGTGATTTGAGGGGAGAAAATTAGAAAGTTAATTAAAAGAAACAACTTGGTAATTGAATTCCCAAACACTCTTATTTGGAGGGTGGGGTGGGAGTAGATTATAGTACACAAATGGTATGTTTGCCTCAGTGGAAGGCCTGGAAGTCCTGAGTGAGACAAGCTTCAAAATACAAGAAGATGTGTTGATATATCACATCTTCTCATCCATGAAGGACAGCACATACATATTTATAATACATATATACATATTTATATGTGTGTATATGTCATACATATAACACATTATATACTATGTATATCATATATAATATTTATTATGTATATATGGATGTGTGTTAGTATCTTTTTCTGTTACTGAGTTAAAATTCTTTGCCTGCCCCCCAAAAAACCTGAGAGGAGGTCTATAGTGCAGGAGTAGTAGAGTCTATCATGGTGAAAACTTGGCATTAGCCGGGCGGTGGTGGCGCACGCCTTTAATCCCAGCACTCGGGAGGCAGAGCCAGGCGGATCTCTGTGAGTTCGAGGCCAACCTGGTCTACAGCGCGAGATCCAGGAAAGGCGCAAAGCTACACAGAGAAACCCTGTCTCGAAAAAACCAAAAAAAAAAAAAAAAAAAAAAAAAAAACAAAAAACCATCAAAGCATGGCATTAAATTTCCCAGACCATTTCACAGACATCCTTTGCCGGGCGGTGGTGGCGCACGCCTTTAATCCCAGCACTCGGGAGGCAGAGCCAGGCGGATCTCTGTGAGTTCGAGGCCAGCCTGGACTACCAAGTGAGTTCCAGGAAAGGCGCAAAGCTACACAGAGAAACCCTGTCTCGAAAAACCAAAAAAAAAAAAAAAAAAAAAAAAAAAAAAACTTGGCATTAGGTGTGGACAGCATGGTGGCAGGAGCAGGAAGCTGACTGATCACATGTCATCTTCATACAGGAAGCTGAGATTGAACAGCAAGTAGGGTCAGGCTACAAAACTGCAAACTCTGCCTCCCAGTGATGTTCTTCTTCCAGTATAGCTCCACCTTCTAAAGGTTCTGTAACTTCAAACAGCGCCACCTGCTGGCAGTCAATGTGTTCAAAACACATGAGCCTGTGGAGGACATTCACATTCAAACCACAATACATATACACACCTAGAGTTATTGTTGTTGTTTTTGAGACATTATATCAAGTACCTCAGGCTAGCTCTAAACTCAGTATATAGCTAAAGCTGACCTTGAACTTCTGATTCTCCAGCCTCAACCTCAGGAATGCTTGAATCACAGGTGTGTACCAACACACCCTACTAAGTATTCACATTTTAAAATATTATTGGCAGCTGATAATGCTGTTGGGTGAATTTCTGGACTAATACCTGTCACCTTGATGGCACAAAGATGGCTTTTTCTCTATTTTCCATTAGCAACTGTTCTGGTTGTTTGTTTCCCTGGATTTTTATATGTCCTCACATAATCACACAAACAGAACCATGTGTTTATGCCTCCCACCCCCCAAAAATATAAGAAGGATGGCCATTTAGTATTTTTTCCAGAGGCTTGGAAATAAATAAATCTTTTTCAAGATATTAAAGATCAACAATTTGAGCTGCTCTTGAGAGAAACAAAGACCCTATAATTTAGAATCATGGGTGAGTGGTTGGGTAGAAGTAGATTCAGACCTGGACTCTAACCCACAACCTTTATTTGTGCAACCAAGATATATTTATTGACTGCCTGCTGCATGGCTCGTGCTATTGCAGCCTCCAACAACCACCTTAGTGTTTTGGCTTCTTTACATGTTGCTGGGATGATTTACCCTGGGACAATCAAGTCAAGCATGAGAGGGTTTATTCTGGCTTACAGTTCTAGCACAGTCCTACAGCAGAGGAGTCACAGTGCGGGGAGTTTGAAACAGCTGGTCCTATCACATCCACAGTCAAGAAACAGAAAGAATGAATGCTTCAAGTGCTCATCTGGCTTTCTCCATTTTACAGAATCCAGGCTCCCCTCCCAGGGAATGTGCTTACCCACAATTCAGAGGGACCTTCCCATATTACTGTCATAAAGATGATAATCCCCCACAGACCTGCGCAGAGGTCGGTCTCCCAGGTGATTCTGGGTCCTCCCAGTTGACAGTTAATGTTGACCATCACACTTGCCAGTTCTTATGGTTTTTATGAGTATTGGATTTTAGAGGTCTGGAAAATGGATTTCAGCCTCAGACACTTAAGGATTTCCTGAGTTTTATTCTCCCCCCTCTTGCAGCAAATCTGTAGAAGAAAGAGCAGCCCACTGAAGTGAGGCTTTGACTCAACTGCCAAGTTAGTGTTGAGTGGACTTCCCCTTGCACACCAGTCTACAGAGTACTCTGGAAAATGAATTAACCTCATCATGTCTACAGATACTAAGATATCTCACTTAAAGCACTCGGGAGCACAGATCTGAGAGCCTTTGGGTCCAGCCAGGTTTTGTTTGGGAGAAAAGAATTTATGGCTAACAGTAAGTCTGCATTCATTGGTATGACAGAGGTGCATCTGCCTGCCTGTGATGACTAATGTCAGGTTTTATATTTTTGCAGGTTATGGTTTTGTAGATTTTGATAGTCCTGCAGCCGCACAGAAAGCAGTAGCATCCTTGAAGGCAAATGGCGTGCAAGCACAGATGGCCAAGGTAAGCCTGCTCAGACAAGAGGGTCTGTGCACATGTCCACTTTGTGTATGTATGTATCTGTGTGTGAACAAATCTTAGTCTTTTTCAGTGATCAGACCCCAAATGATGGTTGACATTCTTTCTGTACTCAATTGTTAGGGAAAATGAAACATGCAATAGACTTGACTTGTTGTGACTCTGGTTTGATGTGTAGCTATTAATGAGCTCCTTGGTTTTAGAGACCCCAGTGATTAAAGGACACATGTGGAGGGCTCTATTTTGTTTGAAAAAGGAGGTATGCATACATGAGACTCTAGAACTTTCCCTAGTCAGCAGTGCTGGAGTCAATATACACGTATGTACTGGTGTCTAGAAATTTCCCCAGTTGGCAGAGTTCTGGGATAGCACAGAAAGTTGTCAATGATTAAATGGGTACTGAAAATTCACTTATTCGTTCCATGTTTGGGAGGCTTCTCAACTGATGGCTTCTTCCCTAATTTGTGCAGGGAAATGGCTTATTGCTAATGTTCTTTGTCTGATTTGCTAGAATTTCACTTTGGCCCATATACCAAAGTTTACCTGGAGAGTAATTTTCTTGATGTTCATCATTTTCAACATTTACTCTTTGTTTCATAGTATGCATTGTCTGGGACCTTGTATGTGAAACTATGATGAATTTTTACATCAAAGTGAAAATTGTTTGTCATCATTCTGTACAGTGATTGCTGTAGTGTTATAAGAATCTGCCTATGTGGTAAGATAATATGGATCTTGGGAACAATGCACACCAATGTCATTGTCTTCACTTTAATCTAGGACTCTAATGAGACAGCATCATAATGATTTAAGCTATGTATGGTGGTGCATGACTTTAATCCCAACACTCTGGGATAAAAGCAGTGGCAGGCAGATCTCTGTGAATTCAAAGACAGCCTGGTCTATATAATGGAGTTCAAGGTCAGCCAGGAATACACAGTGAGACCCTCCCTCCAAAAACAAAAAAGTAGAAAGAAAAAGTAAGAGTAAACACCAGAACTGTTGCTGATGACATTTGGATGTTCAGTAAATGTTGATGCTCAAATAGCAGTGGTTTTGAATCATCATAAATGGTCTAAGTTTAAAATATCCTTCTTGTTAATAGTTGAAGTTACTATCCCCAGATCTTCACACTGCCGGGTGCCACGGGCAACAGACCTTGAAATCTTGGGCTTCTGTTCCCTGCTTCTGTTTCTAGTTTTCCAGCCCTGTTCCCCTAGAAATAAGTGATGTGATGATGAAGTCCTCGGATGCCCTACCCATTTGGCTTGTGTTGTGTTATGTGTTGTGCATATTCTCTGATAGAACCTTCCAGCATCAGCCCCAGCTTTCTGAGGGTCAGCATCTGGGTCCTAGCCGCTGGGGATGCATTCTGGCCAATGTGTGTCGATCACATCTGCTAACTGGCTGTTGCAAGCCAGTTTCCTCCTCAGTGACTGTGGTGGGTTCATTGTCTTTCTCGTTACTCAGGGTGATATAAGTTAGGATTCACCCAGCTGTGTATTCTGTTCTTTGTCAGGATGATGCCTGGAAGCTTTAGATTTGGTCAGGAATTGAGATTGATGAAGTTAATACTTTTAATTAATCAGGAAATTACATGCATGTCCTGGTTTAAAGGTTATTTGGCAACAGTCAATGGCAACTGAAGTAGCAATTTCCTGTACCCAGAAAACAAGTGATAGAGTGTGGCTGCTGGCTGAGTTAAGAAATGATTATGAAAATGCTTTAAAAAGAGGCTAGGGAGGGACTGAAGAGATGGCTCAGGGGTAAAATGTGCTTGCTCTTCTTACAGAGAACCCCAATCTAGTTCCCAGCAGCCATGTTAGGCAGCTTTGGGGATCTGATCCTCTCTTCTGGCTTATGTGGGAACTGCACTCAGCTGTACACACGCACACAGAGGTATACACATACACATTTTAAAAGATAAAAAAAATCAATCTTTAAAAGCTAAAGTATATTCTGGGGACTTGAGAGGTGGTTCTATGGTTAAAAATAGTTGTGGCTCTTACAGAGGACCTGAATTTGGTTCCCAGCACCCACATTAGTTGTTCACAACTAACTTCCTGTAACTCCAGCTCCAAGGGATCTAGTGCCCTCTTCTGGTCTCCAAGAGCACTGAATTCATGTGCATACACACACACACACACATACACACACACACACACACACACACACACACACACACACTCACACACACACACACACACACACACACACACACACACTTTAAAAATAAGGTTAATCTATGGTTTAAAAAAGAAACAAACAAAATGGGGAACTTGAAAAGTAGCTGAGGAGATAAGGTACTTGCTGTGAAGCTGAAGACCTAAGTTTAATGCCCAGGTCCTTACATGGTAGAAGGAGAAAATAGACTAGTCAGAATCCTCTGACCTCCATATGTGTGTGCATTGTGTACAAGTGTATGTGAATCATACACACATATGTAAATAAATTAATTAATTAGTAAACTTTTCAAAGATAATGGTTATTGGAACATATTCAGTACTTTCTGTTTATAAACTTTTGAAATTTTGGAATTTATTAGATAGTAGTGGTTTATAGATAATGAACACACAGTTGTTTCTAAATTCTCAAGAGATAGAAATATAAATATATATACACACAAACATATAGATAATAGATAGTAGATAGATGATAGGTAGATTATAGAAAGATAGACATACATGATAGATGATGATGATACATAGATAGATAGATAGATAGATAGATAGATAGATAGATAGATAATAGATAGACAGACAGATAGATGATAGATCATACACAGAGTTAAGCTTTTGTATTAAAAAGGCAAAGAAAGTTGACATTGACTTTAATATTTTCAGGATGCTTATATATAAGGAATCCCTCCCTATGCCTGACTATCTTTCTCATGCACATGTATAGTAGCACGTGCGTGTGCGTGCGTGCGCGCGCGCACACACACACACACACACACACACACACACACACACACACACACACCAATCACTGACCTATCACACAGTAAGGGAACTGTCTATACTAGCAATTGTTTAAAGACCTTCAAAAGGGATTATTCACTCTAGCTACCATTTTGGCTCTTGTCCCATATCCAAGGTGCAAAACCTGGAGTGCCCGGCTAGGCTGTGGGGAATCACTCTGCTTCAGACTTTCTGAAGAGTTTGACAGTTTCAGTCGTGCTGTCTGTGAAGTAAATCCTCACAAAGTTTGAGCCCAAAGCCTGCTTTAGATTTCCATCTGCCCACTGGAAAACTTTCAGCAATAAATGACTCTGTAATTTAACTACCCAGAAGAAAATAAATAGCCTCCGTTTGACAATGAAATGGAACAAGCTTGGCCACCTGTATTAGCAGATTTCTCACTGAGCTATTGGATTTCATGGCACTTTTTCCTTTGTCCTGGCGATAACTGTTATTTATTATCATATAAACCTGCAGTCTGCAGGGTGTGTGTTCTTGCAGTATATATTTTACCATTTAAGTATGCACCAAATCGCCTCCTGCATCCTTGTTCTTATCAGTATCCCACTCTGTTGGTTGTGGTGTGACATTTTAAAATCCCCAGGATTTTAAAATAAAATGCCTCCTGGAGTAGAGAGATGACTCATCCATCATGAGTGCATACTGCTCTTGCAGAGGACCTGAGTTCAATTCCCAATGCCTTTGTTAGATTGCTCTGACTCAAATTCCAGGTGATCTTATGCCCTATTTTGGACACCACTGATAGCTGCACTCACTTCCCTACACAGACACATGCAGAGACAGACAGATGGACAGACGGACACAAACACTTATATAAATAGTAGTAAATATTTTTAAAAATAAAATTAAAATGCTGCCTGTAATTAAGTTCCCGATAGCTACCTGGCACCAACTTGAAAGTGTGGGAGTTGCTTCCCTTAGCAAACATGTTCCAGTGTGTGCCTGTGAAAATATCAACTGACACTCAACTACAAAGAACTGAATAGGGAATTAGCCAGGATGTAGTAATTGATCAGTGTGTCAGTTACGTTTCCATTGCTGTGATAAAACACCATGCACAAAGAAATTTACCAAAGAGTTTATTTTGTGTTGTAGTTCCAGAGGAATGGGTCTATTATGGTGGGGAAGCATGGCAACAGGAGGGAGACATGGTGTCAGGAGCAGGACCCTAAGATAGTAAATCGACAGCAAATCTGAAGTAGAGAGAGGGAACTGAAAGTAATGAGAGGCTATGGACTCTCAAAGCATGCCACAGTGACTTACTTCATCCAGCAGGGCTGTACCATCTCCCCAAACATCACCACCACCTCACCAAACAGTACCACTATCTACTTCCATAAACATCAGCACCACCTCACCAAACAGTACCACTATCTACTTCCATGAACATCAGCACCACCTCTGCAAACAGTACCAAGCCCTCCACAAACAGCGCAGCCAACTGAAACTAAGTGTTTAGATCCTACAGCCTGTCAGGAACATTTCTCTTTCAAACCACGACAATCTATAATAAAGATAAGGAACCATGCACACAAATGAACATTTTCTTTCATGAGCAAAATTTGTGATTCTTTGGTGAAAGCCAATTTAAAGAATTTTGTAAGTGTGTGCTGGTGAAGAATGTAGGTTTAAAAGATGCATTTGGCTTTGGTTTCTGGTTGTGGCACCACCTAGTTGTATGAACTTTCTGTGTTATTAAAATATCTCTAATACTCCTTAATAATAATATGGTGCTTAGACTGTTGGGTTAGTGTGCAACTTTTGAAAATCTGCAAAGCATTTGCCATAGTGCTTTGACTGCAGTAAGAATCCAGTACCTGTGCATGAGTTAGTAAATATTGTACATTGGATTCAGATGTGCTGGGAAACCTCCTGGGAATCCTAACATATTTCAGGTCTTTTATTATCACAAAATAGTCTAAAGGAAAATATTTGTAAGAGTTTTAGTCTGTAGATGTTTTGTGGTTTTTCTGTGGGCTGAGCAGTGTGTTGGTTACAATGAAA